GTTGGACGTGTTCTTGGTGTTGTTCTTGGAGTTGTCCTAGGGGTTCTCCTAGAACAAGGGTGAAGCTAAGGCTTCAAGTTACAAAGTCGACTTCGTCGATCAGTTCGAGTTTCACTGTTCAACGGGTTCGCAATGTTTCATGGAGGATATAAGCTACGACGAGTTGGGCCTTGAAACTGCTTCATAGACCTACTCAATCTTCTTTAGAAGCTTCATCGGCCACAGCTTTTCCTCCTGCGATTCTAGTAAAATCGCAATTTCATGTACCTTACCCGCTGTTCTTTCTAGGTACTTCCAAATCGTTGCCTTACAGTTCCGCTAATACGATTCAAATTCCTTCTCTACTTCTTTCGCATAGGTCTTAGTCACCTATTACCGGCACCCTCACATTTCGCAAACTTCCTATAACACTTATCTGTGTCCTAGTATGGAAACTTAGTTGCGCTTGCGAAGGACGCGATACATGCGCTTAAAGTTGAACTTGAATGCTTCGAAGTTTTCGGTGGCATGCGATATAGATTGCCCCTTCGACATTTCAACAAGAATTTTCCAAATCTGTTTCTTAAAGAATCCCGTTATTGAAATAACGATGGTCGACGCCGTCTTCTGTCCTCTCATCTCCTAGGAATACTATAGCTCCTGTAATAATCACGACGATTATTTCGAACACGATTGGTAGAGCGACGCGAAATGTCGCATCCACGTCTACTCCTACTGAGACTATAACTCCTACATGGATGGTTTGGAGAACAACATCCCTGAGCAGCATTTCTTTATCATTAGTTCTTACGATATTTCCTTCGCTTCAGGTTCCGACTTCGGTTTCTTCTTCTGGTTCTACTTAAGGAAGTTTTCTATCGACAAAGCAATCTAGCTTTGGTTCGAGTTTAAGCGCTTAATTGCCTCTTTAGACACAACTTAGTTCTATGAAACGTTGTTAACCGCTTCATGTATCAACTGTCCCCACGATGTTTCCTAGTCTATCGGCTTGACTCGTTAAACAGATTCGGTTTCTACTCAGGATCTTGACCGTTGGTCTACTGACGATCTCTCATAGAAACAACCAAGACACGTTCGTTTCTTGTAGCTTACTTGTGACAGGCAAGTCTCTCTAAAGAGCTTTACGTATACCCATTAGTTCGTTCTCTGCGTAATTTGAAGCTCTATCTTGGTGTCATGTAATACACCTACGGGTCTGTGATCCGTTGAGTTTTAGCTTTCCTAGCGTTTCGTTTCCCCAATTTGATACGGTTTTCGATGGGAAACGTCAAGACGTCTTCTATTGCTTCGACGATACTAAACGCACTTCTTCCAAAGGTTGAATCCTTAGTTATAGAGATTTTAACTGCGGTCCTTCTTGTTTCGCAAAACTGCCCTAGTTGGTGGTTTCTCTTTCGTTCTTAGTTCTTGCTTAGTGACTTGGACTCCTCATGTCGACATGACAAGTCGAGAAGTTGTGCTTAGGTACTCCTTGTTGGTCGATTCTTCTTTACGCATGACTTCGGACTTCAAGCTGCGCTTTAGCATTACTCTTCATGCATAAGTGATTCTACTTCCAAAGCAAACATGGACTTCTCAGCCTTGTTGTCGCAGGTGGTCTTGTTCTTGAAGTCTAGAACTTGGGGAAAGTGGAGATTGATGTTGATGACATAAATCTTGGGGTAATGGAAGTGGCTCTTAGAGACTTCGTTATACAGACTTGTTGTTGACGTGTTCTTGGTGTCTTCTGGAGTTGTCCTAGGGGTTCTCCTAGAACAAGGGTGAAGCTAAGGCTTCAAGTTACAAAGTCGACTTCGTCGATCAGTTCGAGTTTCACTGTTCAACGGGTTCGCAATGTTTCATGGAGGATATAAGCTACGACGAGTTGGGCCTTGAAACTGCTTCATAGACCTACTCAATCTTCTTTAGAAGCTTCATCGGCCACAGCTTTTCCTCCTGCGATTCTAGTAAAATCGCAATTTCATGTACCTCACCCGCTGTTCTTTCTAGGTACTTCCAAATCGTTGCCTTACAGTTCCGCTAATACGATTCAAATTCCTTCTCTACTTCTTTCGCATAGGTCTTAGTCACCTATTACCGGCACCCTCACATTTCGCAAACTTCCTATAACACTTATCTGTGTCCTAGTATGGAAACTTAGTTGCGCTTGCGAAGGACGCGATACATGCGCTTAAAGTTGAACTTGAATGCTTCGAAGTTTTCGGTGGCATGCGATATAGATTGCCCCTTCGACATTTCAACAAGAACTTTCCAAATCTGTTTCTTAAAGAATCCCGTTATTGAAATAACGATGGTCGACGCCGTCTTCTGTCCTCTCATCTCCTAGGAATACTATAGCTCCTGTAATAATCACGACGATTATTTCGAACACGATTGGTAGAGCGACGCGAAATGTCGCATCCACGTCTACTCCTACTGAGACTATAACTCCTACATGGATGGTTTGGAGAACAACATCCCTGAGCAGCATTTCTTTATCATTAGTTTTTACGATATTTCCTTCGCTTCAGGTTCCGACTTCGGTTTCTTCTTCTGTTCTACTTAAGGAAGTTTTCTATCGACAAAGCAATCTAGCTTTGGTTCGAGTTTAAGCGCTTAATTGCCTCTTTAGACACAACTTAGTTCTATGAAACGTTGTCGACCGCTTCATGTATCAACTGTCCCCACGATGTTTCCTTGTCTATCGGCTTGACTCGTTAAACAGTTTCGGTTTCTACTCAGGATCTTGACCGTTGGTCTACTGACGATCTCTCATAGAAACAACCAAGACACCTTCGTTTCTTGTAGCTTACTTGCTCACAGGGCAAGTCGCTCTAAAGTAGCTTTTAGCGTTTACCCATTAGTTCCTTCCCTTGCGCTAGTTTGAAGCTCTACCTTGGGGTCATGGAATACCCCTACGGGTCCTTTGATCCGTTCAGTTTTAGCTTTCCTAGCGTTTCGTTTCCCCAACCGGATACGGTTTTCGATGGGATAAGTCAAGACGTCTTCTATTGCTTCGACGTATACTAAACCCGCGACTTCTTCTCCGGGTAGAGATCCTTAGTTATATGATGAGACTACCGGAGGTAGTTCCTTGTCTTGCTAGCAAAACTGGTCTACTTGTTCCGGGAGGTCTCAAGTTTTTTGATCTTGGAGGTTACTAACCTGGACTCCTCAGTTGTCGACTTGTCAAACCGAGAAGTTGTCGCTTCCAGGTACTCCTTGTTGGTCGATTCTTCTTTGCGCATGAATTCGGACTTCATCAATAACATGCTTTCCCATTACTCTTCATGCATGGAGGTCGATTCTCCTTCCAAAGCAAACATGGACTTCTTAGACTTTCATCATCACTACTTCTTCTTCAAGTTCCTTGATTTGTTCTGAGGGTTTTCCTCCGTTCGTTCCGATTCGTTTTATGTCGCTCCGGAAAACGTTTCTAACATGGATAGTTATCATCCAGGAACGGTTTTCTCCCTCTAAAGTTAGGTCTTCAAGTCTTCAGACCTTGAGGTTGGCCTGTTTGACCAAGACCTTTCTTATGATCAAGGTGATTATTTCTGTTTCTAGGTAGACATAAATTCTTTAGTCATCTACTTCTCTAACGTCTCTCTTAGATAGCTCCAAGTCAACATGATCTACAGCGACTTAATTAGAGTCATAGAGGACGACATGCTTCTAGACAGGATTCTTCCCGATCCTTAACGTTCTATGTTGGATTTCTTTACGTCCGGTACTAAGTTCATCTTCCTTAACTACCGTGTGTACTTCTTTCATGGCATGATCTCATAAAGCTTGAGCTCCTTAATCGCGTTGGTCCTAACCTTCATGATTACCTCGGTTCTCTGCTAAATGGCCTTCCACGATATCAAGTCGCACTACAACATCTCGTTAAAGCTGTTCTAGCTGGCGGTCGCCTATCTCTCTTTTCCTAATAGCAGCGACGTTCTGCTCCACTTCTAGATGCTCATCAGATGGGGTTCTAATTATTAAGAGTTCTTCTCCATCTTACGCACGAACTATCACCAAGAGTTTATCATAGATACCTATGATTATAACGTCAACCGGAACTATAGTGAACCCTAGGTCTGCAACACTAGGTGTACGTTTCACGTTTACCTTTAGACTTGGGATGATCCCCAAATCGATCTTTACATGGTAAATCTAAACCACTGTAATGGTAAATGAATGTTCAAGTACATTACCTATTACAAGGAATACTTCAGAACTACCCTGCTGGTAAACTACAAAATCACCTTTCACTC